GTTGGTATAAACTGAACTTTTACTAGTTCGAGGGTTGATATGAGTGTTGTCGATTGAACACCTATACATAAGATGACTATTCTGTTTTAAAGACATTTTGTTCCACCATATTGTTAAGATAATTTAGATCGTCCTCGCATGATGATTTGTGCTATTCGGTCGATCAAGTGTAAATTATATTCACGTGATCTATTCAACATTATAAGTAGATAGAGTTATCAAATACTAAAGGTAACTAGCTTGAGCGCAACATTCGAACTGACGCTTTTTGAGATATTTGTAGTATTACGGTGAAAATTCGTTCAAATATTTCGTAATTAGTAGTAATACTAATCTAATCTGAGCAAAGAACAAATCTCTTCAGTTTATCAGGTCTAAATCATTAGTAATATACTCGAATCAATCACGTAACTTAAGTTATTTAAGCTGTTTTCTGACCATTACTTACTTACGCCTGTTACTCCTCGTGGAGGAGCATAGGCCGCCCACCCTTTCAGACTATTAGGCGAGATAGTGGCATACGACATAAATTAACTAAAACGCAACATACTACTTACATTTCTAAGAGTATGGTGAATAATAAATATATTTTTGTTATGTCCCAATGAGTAGGAAATTTATATTTTTGACGTTCCATTACTTAGTGTAAGCCACTTATTCAGAGTAATTCGGTTATTTATCGACTCTGAAGAAGTCGCTTACATTAAGTCACGAAACGTCGAAAATACGATTTCCTACTTATTGGAATATAACAAAACATATGTGTATCAATAACTTTCTATCCAATGCGTAATTTATTTGAAACTATCAAGTCTAGCTTTGACATTGATACCTATAGCATAGTGAATAGTTTACACTATATTCAATGAATACTTTCGTATAGGCCTTTTCACTGATTGCTTATTAAAATGTTTTTTTTTTCTGTCTACTGCTTTTTCCTTATTAGTTAGTCGACAACGTAGTTCACATGGCGGAGTAGTTTTAAGAGAACAAGATATTGTTTGTATGCATAGTCCATTGTTAAGACTACGTGATCATGAACGGCAAATGGACCATTTACGTGCACAATCTGAACTGGCTGGAACTCATATGACAAATTATTTACGTGAAATCGATGCAGATCAAAAACGAGTTGATCATGAATTATCGTTGATAGAGTTAGTTAATTTTCAATAACTGTTGGGATTATTTTTTTCTTTGTTTTCTCAAAACACACACCAGTGAGGTGGTTGTCACTTGTGGAATTGAATGATTATCGTATCATACATCATGAATTAATTGAAGTTGGAACTACGGGACAGTGGCTTTGAACTTAATAGCCTAATGGGTTTGTAGTCACCTCAAAATCATAGGATCGATTCTGTGTACGGTTATGTGTGCAAATTGATGTGCAGTCCCGAAATGAGTAAAGATAGTTGTCCAGCGCTCTCTGATTCTCACTTTATTCTACAGACGATAGTATTCTGTGATGGAAGCTATCGAACATGTATATAAATTCAGACTATACTAACAATGTGCTCATAATTGATAAAGATTCAAGAAACTCCTAACCTGAATTAAGTTTTTTTTTCAAAGACATGATTGGACATAATTTGTAGCATATTTGGCAGTTGAGGAAGGCACATCATTAATTTCATTTTGCCATGAAATCCAAAGCTATCTAAGTCAATCATAGTTACAAAGTAATAACTGAAAGTTTACAGCTTTCGTCACTGTATGAAGTCATCAATCAATATAACATGTTATCCTTATAGAATCGATTGATCTCAAAACTTATGATTTCTGGTATAATTTTTTTCCCACATAAAACAAGTTCTATGATCATTGATCCTTTAAGATAGGCTAACAAATGTGAAAACTAATTATTGCCCCAATAGGTTCTTCATTTTCAAAAATTTCCGTTACTGTACAATTTGTTGTCGAATATCCGCTACTATCCTTATACTTCATATATTAATCGACTTGATAACCGTTATTACTATAATTCTTAATGATGTGCGGTCCTCAAAAGTCGGAATGAAGTTGTGGGAACAGTTTATTCCAGACATAGCTCATATCTAACGATCGGCAAGTAAATGATAGGAAGAGGGAAATTGATTAATTAACGAAGAAATTAATGTGATTTAACAAGCTAAAATATATAGGAATATACGGGTGATTCATCAAGAGCTTTAAGCAACTCACATTTAAGCAAGTAAAAGAAATAAATGCGTAGCTTTTACTTCTGCTCATCGGTTGCATGAAGAGATATGTATAGAGAATACAGGTGACTTAATGCATATCAAAATGGCACTGTCTATCTGCCTAATAGGTTAATTAATGGGCTCAACAGACTTAAATATATACAGGTTCATGTGGGATGATAATGATGTAAATTAATGACAACAATTGTATTTATTTTTAATTGAGATCATGAACCGATTGATGTTAGACCACCATTGAAAACCTGGAAGCACTGGACGGCCGTTTCCTCCTATTGTGGGACTCCCCAGCAGTGCGCATCCACGATCCCACCCGCGGGATTCGAACCCAGGGCCTTCAGTTTCGCGCGTGGACGCTTAACCTACTGGACCATTGGGCCGGTATCAAATGGTGTTAATGTCTAACCTCAACCAATCCACGAAATTACGCGACCATCTTCCATTGTAACGAGGTAGACAACTGACTCTACCCGACACAGATTAGCTCCACTGTAGGTTTTTTTTACAATGCCTACTCTACTACTGTCAGATAGACATGATAAGGTGAAGAAAATAAGTGGCAAGTCTGTCCCATGCAAACGAACTTCAGTATATTTACGGATAGCCTTAAGAACAGCCAATCAGAATGCAGGTCCCGGGTAGGAGCTTGGAAATATAGAAAAAAATAGAAATACAGAGGGTTAAGAGTTTCTAAATCATTAATGAACTTATAGTGCTTAATATCGAACATTCAGGCTGGATATCATGGTTTTGTAATCAGTTTAGAACATAATTCTTGGCTCCTTATCTTTTCAAACCTAACTCATAACCCAAAAGCTCCTTAACACTAATACTCCTAGCCTTAATCCTGAGTTCAAATCCTACAATCCGTAACCCAAACATTCTGACCTTAACAGTTCATTCCCCAAGGAAACCATCATCCAATCCTTTCGAAATAAAAAAAATATGATGGAGGTCATGAGTTTTGGTAACAACCTATCCGTAATGGCGTTTTTAATTTGCGCATGGGTTAGACTTATTTTGATTAGCCACTCAGGGCCGTCAGTATAGCATAGTCGGGCTAAGTTACGAAGACACAATAAACACAAGAATAAAACGACGAAGTAAATGAAATAATATATTTGTAATATCCCAATGGGTAGAAAAATTAGTTTTTCTAACGTTGTTCCTCTGTACGATCTAAACTTGGATTAATTTTGACTTAGTTATTCATTCTCCGAAGTGACTTACACTGAGTCACGAAATGTCAGAAAATCTAATTTTTATATTTATTGGGTTATTACAAATATATTATTTTTATTAATAACGATCCACTCAGTACTCAACTTTTTCAAAATTATCAAGTCAAACTTTAGTATTTATACCTTAAAACGATAAAGTATTCATTATCTAGTGGAAGTAAATTATACAGATAACCTTGAACCACTTTCCAGCCTAGGAAAGTGTTTGGTTATAAAATGATTTATGATAAAATATGTAGTATACTTGTAATTGATAAAGTTTTAGCATGAGTACCCTACCCTTACATATGAATTACTAGGTTTCATGAGGAAATGCTCTCAGCTATGTGAAGACAACTATCCTCTATCAATGTTCAATAAAAGTGCCATATCTAGCATTTCCGACTACTTTCCCGTTCATTTAGCTTATCAATACTTCATATAAGACTGTAATTTTCATTAGAGACTTCAATCTAATCGTCTAAAATTACTAACTTATATCATTTGTGAACACGCTATTGTGACGTATCCCAACTTAGTGGATGAAACGAGCCAATAAACTACAGATTAGTATTTGAAATCAAATCTGCAATGAAAATTATACTGTTACATATATCGTTCACTAACTAACTGAGCAGGAAAGTGCTAAATATCAAACACATATTAAATATTGAGATGTATTAAAAATTCATGAACACGTAACCATTTCTGATCAGCTGTAGTGCAAGAACGAATTTCGCGCTGAAATCTGATTATTTCCACGATATACTTTATTCGTTCTCATTATTTGTAACATATTACTTCCAATTCTTCACCACTTTTTATTCTTTAACATAATCATGTGCCAACCAACTAACTTCACGTTATGTAAAATGTGTCCATTTTGTTTGAATTGTAATTTTACTGGATTTTTGTGACTCATCTTTTACCAGAGTATAAGTTAAATATTCCACTGCTCTTAATCAGAATTTTACAAACTAATGATTTATTCATTTCATTATATACTCTAATTCAAAGTAATAACCAATATAAGTTAGGCCAGCAAATGTGCCTGGTCCTACGTTGTAGCTGACTGACTTAGACCAGCATCGGAAACTTGGAAGCACTGGACCAATGTTTCATCCTAGTATGAGGATCCTCAGAAGTGTGTATCTGCGACCACGAACGCGGAAATTTAACCCTAGACCTTCGGTCTCGTGTGCAAACACCTAACCTCCAGACCACTGAGTCTCAGTCCAACAGTGTGGATGTCTAACTCCAATAAATTTACGACATTGCGCGACCACTTTCCACTGTCTTCGGTGAGTAACTACTACACACTCTACACGGATTAGCTTCACTGGTCACAGCTTCTCACTAAGACCACGGAATTACCTCTCAGAGTTAGTCACGAGTGTGCATATTAACAATTATCAGCATAGGATTGTGGATTGATTAGTTTACTTTATACTGTGGAATAACTTCAATATCAATGTGAACAGATAGATAATAATGAACTGTTATCAGTACATGGTGATAACCATTTGTTCGTTTTACTATCAAATTCCAAATTAGGCGATTTACTTGGATTAAAAAATAATAAAGGCTTAGATCAATGTATTTTAATGGGAAGTACGTCAAAAGGTTAGAAAAAAGAAAATAGAGATTGAAATAAAATTAGCTAAAACATTATTAAAATTGCTGAATCAGAATTGTTCAAATTATATTTTAGAATAGTGAAGATTCCCATTGTGGAAATTTGAACAACACATATAAGCGAACAATTGTTTTCAATTAGATCGTCATCAGGCTTTACTCTAATATACATGAATATTTATACGAAAATGTTAAACCAATCAAGGCAATATGGGTCAATAATCACTATGAAATAGAATAAGTCATTACACATAATAGGTAAAAGTACAAGTTGATAGTAGTAGGAAGACAGGTGAACTGATAATAGTGAGAATAATAAAATACAATAACAAAACTCTTACCAATAGTTAAACGTCGGGAATAGAAGGTCAAACATGGGTAAATAGACTAGGAATAGTAATCACAAAACCTTAAAAATCATTACGTAATAAGATGTGTGTAAATAATTAGATAGTGAAGAATACAAACGGCAAGAGGCGGAAAATTTCATTGTGATTGTTAACCCATATTGCCTTGATTGGTTTAAAATTTTCGTATAAATATTCATATATATTAGAGTAAAGCCTGATGACGATCTAATTGAAAACAACTGTTCGCTTATATGTGTTGTTCAAATTATATTTGAAAAAGGGTCGAAGAAAGATCATTACATAATTACAATTTATTTTAAAATACTATACTGGTTTATTTAAAACAATTAGTCCATTTGATAAATTTCAATAATGCAATGAGAAGACGAAGTTTATCAGAATTGTGTGATATATGTTTTAACAATGTCTTAACAAGCATATGTGTAATCATAATGGTTTATATTTTTATACTTTTCTTATGTTTCTTTATTTAGTCAGTTACAACATGAGAGTCAGTCTCAGTTGGATCAATTGATAAATCGTGTGAAAAGATGGAGTAGCCGATATGAACATGAACCGAATGTTGATTCTAGTATAACCAATTCTAGAATAAGTTCTAGTTTAAAATCTAGTACAATATCTGACAATTGGACAGGTAATAATCAAATGTATCCAATAGATGCAAGATCACCTCAATCTATAGTGAGAGAAACATCACGATTATCGTCTAGAACAAGATCAGAATCAATTCCATGCCCAGCACTTGATGCTATTACACAAATCGGTGTTACAACCAAAACATCAGGGACTCAAATTTCTGATGACGACGGTGATGGTGGTCGTAATAAAATAGATTTATGTGTATCTAAAAGACAATTTGTGCCAGCGACGATTCCTGAAAGAAAACAAGTAAGAAATGCAATAACTCAAATTGGAGTTTCAAAAGTCGATGCAGGCACACAAGATGACTATCATGGATACAGTCCTAAGCGTTCAGTTAAAGAAGTATTATGTCAAATAGGTCAAATTACAGCGAATGCTTCATGTCAGACATTAGAACATTACAAGCTGCAACAAACGCTTAAAAAGCCAACTTTGGATGCGATAGTTCAATCTGGTGTTATCACTAAGAATAATTCCACTCAGTCGGACAGCATCACAGAAACCGTTGTGAAAATGGACGTACCTGAATCACAAAAAGGTGCACGAAAATACAGCGTACTAGATGCTATCTGTCAAATAGGACAGGTTACACAAACAATTGGAACACAAATAGAAATAGAGAATACAGAAAGAAATAAGAAAAATCTTGGAGTTCAAGCAGAAATCAAAAAGGTATGGCAACACCCAGTGAAAACAACTGAAGCCGCATGTCAAATAGGTAGGATAACAATAAACGCAAGTACGGAGATGTCATCAATGCTCATCAGTAATGAACAAATGATAAGACAAGATATGAAGAAAAGTGATATAGTGTGTCAAATAGGAAAGGTTCAAATAGCACAATCAACACAGGCTGACTTAATTAAGCATATGTTACGCAAACCATCGTCCGATGTAGTATGTCAAGTAGGAAGTGTTATGGAATCTTCAGGGATCCAGATAGATGAACCTCATAAAACTTCAATGTTACTAGCGGGAACTCAGAGTGCCAAAACACCAACATACACTAAGGAGATTCAGACAGATATGGGATTCCGAGTGGAACCGAAGTTTGTGTCGAAGGCTGTCAACGATGTTATATGTCAGGTTGGTCAGGTAAACCATGAAGTATCCACACAGTCAGTTGAACATGTCACCGCTAGACCAGCATACAAGGATACTGGCATTGACCCGATTCACGTGTGGGAAAAGAAGATGGCCAACGATGTCGTCACACAAACAGGGATTGTCCACACATCGAAAATAACACAAGCTGAACTAATACAAGAACAACCGGTGTATGTGAAGCCAATAGAAACACAGGATGTACCGATAACATCGTACAAAGAAACCGTAGATGCCTACCAACAGGCCGACTTAATTAAGCATATGTTACGCAAACCATCGTCCGATGTAGTATGTCAAGTAGGAAGTGTTATGGAATCTTCAGGGATCCAGATAGATGAACCTCATAAAACTTCAATGTTACTAGCGGGAACTCAGAGTGCCAAAACACCAACATACACTAAGGAGATTCAGACAGATATGGGATTCCGAGTGGAACCGAAGTTTGTGTCGAAGGCTGTCAACGATGTTATATGTCAGGTTGGTCAGGTAAACCATGAAGTATCCACACAGTCAGTTGAACATGTCACCGCTAGACCAGCATACAAGGATACTGGCATTGACCCGATTCACGTGTGGGAAAAGAAGATGGCCAACGATGTCGTCACACAAACAGGGATTGTCCACACATCGAAAATAACACAAGCTGAACTAATACAAGAACAACCGGTGTATGTGAAGCCAATAGAAACACAGGATGTACCGATAACATCGTACAAAGAAACCGTAGATGCCTACCAACAGGCCGACTTAATTAAGCATATGTTACGCAAACCATCGTCCGATGTAGTATGTCAAGTAGGAAGTGTTATGGAATCTTCAGGGATCCAGATAGATGAACCTCATAAAACTTCAATGTTACTAGCGGGAACTCAGAGTGCCAAAACACCAACATACACTAAGGAGATTCAGACAGATATGGGATTCCGAGTGGAACCGAAGTTTGTGTCGAAGGCTGTCAACGATGTTATATGTCAGGTTGGTCAGGTAAACCATGAAGTATCCACACAGTCAGTTGAACATGTCACCGCTAGACCAGCATACAAGGATACTGGCATTGACCCGATTCACGTGTGGGAAAAGAAGATGGCCAACGATGTCGTCACACAAACAGGGATTGTCCACACATCGAAAATAACACAAGCTGAACTAATACAAGAACAACCGGTGTATGTGAAGCCAATAGAAACACAGGATGTACCGATAACATCGTACAAAGAAACCGTAGATGCCTACCAACAGGCCGACTTAATTAAGCATATGTTACGCAAACCATCGTCCGATGTAGTATGTCAAGTAGGAAGTGTTATGGAATCTTCAGGGATCCAGATAGATGAACCTCATAAAACTTCAATGTTACTAGCGGGAACTCAGAGTGCCAAAACACCAACATACACTAAGGAGATTCAGACAGATATGGGATTCCGAGTGGAACCGAAGTTTGTGTCGAAGGCTGTCAACGATGTTATATGTCAGGTTGGTCAGGTAAACCATGAAGTATCCACACAGTCAGTTGAACATGTCACCGCTAGACCAGCATACAAGGATACTGGCATTGACCCGATTCACGTGTGGGAAAAGAAGATGGCCAACGATGTCGTCACACAAACAGGGATTGTCCACACATCGAAAATAACACAAGCTGAACTAATACAAGAACAACCGGTGTATGTGAAGCCAATAGAAACACAGGATGTACCGATAACATCGTACAAAGAAACCGTAGATGCCTACCAACAGGCCGACTTAATTAAGCATATGTTACGCAAACCATCGTCCGATGTAGTATGTCAAGTAGGAAGTGTTATGGAATCTTCAGGGATCCAGATAGATGAACCTCATAAAACTTCAATGTTACTAGCGGGAACTCAGAGTGCCAAAACACCAACATACACTAAGGAGATTCAGACAGATATGGGATTCCGAGTGGAACCGAAGTTTGTGTCGAAGGCTGTCAACGATGTTATATGTCAGGTTGGTCAGGTAAACCATGAAGTATCCACACAGTCAGAGATTCCTTCAATTATTTCAGTGGGAGTAGATCCAAGACCAGAAGGTGCTGTAAGGCACCTAGGTTCATACCAAGTGCCACCAAACACAGATCGTCAAAGCAGACACGTACAGGCAGATATCAAACAGGCATTTAAACATATAAATATGCAAACAGAAGAGATAACTAGAGAAAATTTAATATCGACGAACTTGGTGAGGGCGAAACAGAAAGAAACATTTGAGGTAACGACTCAATTCGGTATATTAACAAAAGATAAAGACGTCGAAACATTCGTTAAATGTAGTTCAAAAGAAACACAAACCATAGAAAGTTCACCAGAAGCTGAAGTAAAAATGAGGAGCCAACAAACGTTCACTCGAATAAGAAGTAAAAATTATGACGTCCAAACACAGTCAGGGACGATAAATATTTCCCAAGCATTCCAGACATTATTAGATTACAAGCCAACAACAGATAAACGATCAACTGGAATGCAGCACGAAATGGATTTCAGAGTGGTGCAAACTACGCAACATGAACCACAAACACAAGAAACACCGACACAAACTGAGCGAGTGACATTAAAAGATGAACAGTCATTTACGTCATTCAAATTGAAAACATACGATGTTCAGACTCAGTTTGGAAGTATGCTTAAGTCACAGGCAGCACAAACGCCAGGTGAACAGAGACCGGTCGTCGAAATGAAAGACATGATTACACAACACGAGAAACGTCCAGAACCAATTGTACACAAAAAATTACAAGCAATAGTACAACCGACCACCATTAACACAGAGACTCAGACGATGGAAGAGAGACCACCACCGGCTATCTTGCCACCAAAGTTATTCGACGTCCAAACACAATCAGGATCAGTGACGATAGATTCAGAAACACAAACACCACAAGAACGTAGACCAGTAATCGAAATGAAAGAGTTGCTTACACAACACGAGAAACGTCCAGAACCAATTGTACACAAAAAATTACAAGCAATGGTACAACCGACCACCATTAACACAGAGACTCAGACGATGGAAGAGAGACCACCACTGGCTATCTTGCCACCAAAGTTATTCGACGTCCAAACACAATCAGGATCAGTGACGATAGATTCAGAAACACAAACGCCACAAGAACGTAGACCAGTAATCGAAATGAAAGAGTTGCTTACACAACACGAGAAACGTCCAGAACCAATTGTACACAAAAAATTACAAGCAATGGTACAACCGACCACCATTAACACAGAGACTCAGACGATGGAAGAGAGACCACCACTGGCTATCTTGCCACCAAAGTTATTCGACGTCCAAACACAATCAGGATCAGTGACGATAGATTCAGAAACACAAACACCACTAGAACGTAGGCCAGTGGTCGCGACTAAAGATGCAAGTGTACATCAAGAAACAAAACCTGTTCAATCAATTCCCAAGAAGTTACAGGCTACAGTCGTCCCACCACTTGAAAACATGGCTACACAAACAGATTTATTAGCACAACCTGTTGTCATGCCCATGGTGAAAACTACGCATCATGAACCACAAACACAAGAAACACCGACACAAACTGAGCGAGTGACATTAAAAGATGAACAGTCATTTACGTCATTCAAATTGAAAACATACGATGTTCAGACTCAGTTTGGAAGTATGCTTAAGTCACAGGCAGCACAAACGCCAGGTGAACAGAGACCGGTCGTCGAAATGAAAGACATGATTACACAACACGAGAAACGTCCAGAACCAATTGTACACAAAAAATTACAAGCAATAGTACAACCGACCACCATTAACACAGAGACTCAAACGATGGAAGAGAGACCACCACCGGTTATCTTGCCACCAAAGTTATTCGACGTCCAAACACAATCAGGATCAGTGACGATAGATTCAGAAACACAAACACCACAAGAACGTAGACCAGTAATCGAAATGAAAGAGTTGCTTACACAACACGAGAAACGTCCAGAACCAATTGTACACAAAAAATTACAAGCAATGGTACAACCGACCACCATTAACACAGAGACTCAGACGATGGAAGAGAGACCACCACCGGTTATCTTGCCACCAAAGTTATTCGACGTCCAAACACAATCAGGATCAGTGACGATAGATTCAGAAACACAAACACCACTAGAACGTAGGCCAGTGGTCGCGACTAAAGATGCAAGTGTACATCAAGAAACAAAACCTGTTCAATCAATTCCCAAGAAGTTACAGGCTACAGTCGTCCCACCACTTGAAAACATGGCTACACAAACAGATTTATTAGCACAACCTGTTGTCATGCCCATGGTGAAAACTACGCATCATGAACCACAAACACAAGAAACACCGACACAAACTGAGCGAGTGACATTAAAAGATGAACAGTCATTTACGTCATTCAAATTGAAAACATACGATGTTCAGACTCAGTTTGGAAGTATGCTTAAGTCACAGGCAGCACAAACGCCAGGTGAACAGAGACCGGTCGTCGAAATGAAAGACATGATTACACAACACGAGAAACGTCCAGAACCAATTGTACACAAAAAATTACAAGCAATAGTACAACCGACCACCATTAACACAGAGACTCAGACGATGGAAGAGAGACCACCACTGGCTATCTTGCCACCAAAGTTATTCGACGTCCAAACACAATCAGGATCAGTGACGATAGATTCAGAAACACAAACACCACAAGAACGTAGACCAGTAATCGAAATGAAAGAGTTGCTTACACAACACGAGAAACGTCCAGAACCAATTGTACACAAAAAATTACAAGCAATAGTACAACCGACCACCATTAACACAGAGACTCAGACGATGGAAGAGAGACCACCACCGGTTATCTTGCCACCAAAGTTATTCGACGTCCAAACACAATCAGGATCAGTGACGATAGATTCAGAAACACAAACACCACTAGAACGTAGGCCAGTGGTCGCGACTAAAGATGCAAGTGTACATCAAGAAACAAAACCTGTTCAATCAATTCCCAAGAAGTTACAGGCTACAGTCGTCCCACCACTTGAAAACATGGCTACACAAACAGATTTATTAGCACAACCTGTTGTCATGCCCATGGTGAAAACTACGCATCATGAACCACAAACACAAGAAACACCGACACAAACTGAGCGAGTGACATTAAAAGATGAACAGTCATTTACGTCATTCAAATTGAAAACATACGATGTTCAGACTCAGTTTGGAAGTATGCTTAAGTCACAGGCAGCACAAACGCCAGGTGAACAGAGACCGGTCGTCGAAATGAAAGACATGATTACACAACACGAGAAACGTCCAGAACCAATTGTACACAAAAAATTACAAGCAATAGTACAACCGACCACCATTAACACAGAGACTCAGACGATGGAAGAGAGACCACCACTGGCTATCTTGCCACCAAAGTTATTCGACGTCCAAACACAATCAGGATCAGTGACGATAGATTCAGAAACACAAACACCACACGAACAGAAAATAATCCCAGATATAAAGGATGTGAGTGTATTTCATGAGTCACATCATGTACAAACAGTAAACAAGAAACTTCAAGCTGTGGTATACCATCCATCTGACGATGTGTGTTTGCAAACCGAAGAGGTAAGCGTACAACCTGTCAAACCCGTTGCACAGGTGTTTTCTCGAGCTCCGCAAGTTGCACATAAGCAAACGCAAGCAGAATGGCTGAAGGTCAATATAAAAACATTTGATATACAAGCACAATCAGGGATGGTAGTCAAGACACAGTCAACACAAACTATGCTAGAAGAACAACCAGTATTCCAAACTGCAGACGTCAGTGTGATTCATAGTGAAAAATCACCTTCACTGGTGAACAAGAAACTTCAGGTAAACATGCGTCAATCAGTTGACAACACAAGCACACAGACTGATCCGATGACTCAAGTCCCTACTGTATTACCGAAAACCACGTTCGATGTTGTGACTCAGTCTGGTACTATCCACTGTGCACAGTCAGTTCAGACCATTCCAGAGGAACGACCAGTATTCCATACTGCAGACGTCAGTGTGATTCATAGTGAAAAATCACCTTCATTAGTAGGCAAGAAGGTTCAGGCAACAATGCGTCAATCAGTTGACAACACAAGCACACAGACTGATCCGATGACTCAAGTCCCTACTGTATTACCGAAAACCACGTTCGATGTTGTGACTCAGTCTGGTACTATCCACTGTGCACAGTCAGTTCAGACTATTCCAGAGGAACGCCCGGTATACCACACGGTCGGTGTAGGAGTTGATCATACTGGGAAATTGCAGCCCGTGTTATACGAGAACGTTCAGGCAACAATGCGTCAATCAGTTGACAACACAAGCACACAGACTGATCCGATGACTCAAGTCCCTACCGTATTACCGAAAACCACGTTCGATGTTGTGACTCAGTCTGGTACTATCCACTGTGCACAGTCAGTTCAGACCATTCCAGAGGAACGACCAGTATTCCATACTGCAGACGTCAGTGTGATTCATAGTGAAAAATCACCTTCATTAGTAGGCAAGAAGGTTCAGGCAACAATGCGTCAATCAGTTGACAACACAAGCACACAGACTGATCCGATGACTCAAGTCCCTACTGTATTACCGAAAACCACGTTCGATGTTGTGACTCAGTCTGGTACTATCCACTGTGCACAGTCAGTTCAGACCATTCCAGAGGAACGACCAGTATTCCATACTGCAGACGTCAGTGTGATTCATAGTGAAAAATCACCTTCATTAGTAGGCAAGAAGGTTCAGGCAACAATGCGTCAATCAGTTGACAACACAAGCACACAGACTGATCCGATGACTCAAGTCCCTACTGTATTACCGAAAACCACGTTCGATGTTGTGACTCAGTCTGGTACTATCCACTGTGCACAGTCAGTTCAGACCATTCCAGAGGAACGACCAGTATTCCATACTGCAGACGTCAGTGTGATTCATAGTGAAAAATCACCTTCATTAGTAGGCAAGAAGGTTCAGGCAACAATGCGTCAATCAGTTGACAACACAAGCACACAGACTGATCCGATGACTCAAGTCCCTACTGTATTACCGAAAACCACGTTCGATGTTGTGACTCAGTCTGGTACTATCCACTGTGCACAGTCAGTTCAGACCATTCCAGAGGAACGACCAGTATTCCATACTGCAGACGTCAGTGTGATTCATAGTGAAAAATCACCTTCATTAGTAGGCAAGAAGGTTCAGGCAACAATGCGTCAATCAGTTGACAACACAAGCACACAGACTGATCCGATGACTCAAGTCCCTACTGTATTACCGAAAACCACGTTCGATGTTGTGACTCAGTCTGGTACTATCCACTGTGCACAGTCAGTTCAGACTATTCCAGAGGAACGCCCGGTATACCACACGGTCGGTGTAGGAGTTGATCATACTGGGAAATTGCAGCCCGTGTTATACGAGAACGTTCAGGCAACAATGCGTCAATCAGTTGACAACACAAGCACACAGACTGATCCGATGACTCAAGTCCCTACTGTATTACCGAAAACCACGTTCGATGTTGTGACTCAGTCTGGTACTATCCACTGTGCACAGTCAGTTCAGACCATTCCAGAGGAACGACCAGTATTCCATACTGCAGACGTCAGTGTGATTCATAGTGAAAAATCACCTTCATTAGTAGGCAAGAAGGTTCAGGCAACAATGCGTCAATCAGTTGACAACACAAGCACACAGACTGATCCGATGACTCAAGTCCCTACTGTATTACCGAAAACCACGTTCGATGTTGTGACTCAGTCTGGTACTATCCACTGTGCACAGTCAGTTCAGACTATTCCAGAGGAACGCCCGGTATACCACACGGTCGGTGTAGGAGTTGATCATACTGGGAAATTGCAGCCCGTGTTATACGAGAACGTTCAGGCAACAATGCGTCAATCAGTTGACAACACAAGCACACAGACTGATCCGATGACTCAAGTCCCTACTGTATTACCGAAAACCACGTTCGATGTTGTGACTCAGTCCGGTACTCTGTCTCTTACTGTTGGTTGTCAAGCTGTTCTTATATCGGAAGATTTTTTGATGAAAGATGTTGCTGTTGATTATGTCAGATCGGTCAATTCTTGTTTCTCTAGAGCTGTTCAAGCTAGCATACAAGTTGAAAGTAAAAACGTTGAAATACAGTGTCTGATAAAAGATAAACGTGTAATTAATATTCGGAATGCAGAAGCTCAATTCGACGTACTTCGTCGTCAGGAAGAAACTCAAACATTTAGTTTACCTTTAACAACTACGAAAGAAGGAAGTGTTCAGCACGCACCAACGACTACACAAATAATAAATAAAAAGCTACAAGTAACTATTTCCCAGTCAGTTCGAGAGGCAGCCGCGCAAACATACGAATCAATACCAGTCGTAACAGTACCCACGATGCAAAGAATTCATCACTCTGTACAGACACATGAAATATCATCACAAACTGACAGTCTAGAATTTTTTGATCGTCAGTCCTACGCGCAAATCAAATCTCAAACAAATGATGTAGAAATACAATCAGGAATCATTTGCAAATCACAGGGATTGCAGACAAAATTAGAGCATAAAACATTCGGAATGACGAAAGAAACTAGTACACAGTATGAGGCAGTACAAAGAACAATGATAAATATAGATATTCAGGCAGATGCTCAACATCCAGTGTCCAATACTTACGTCCAAACAGATGAAAGTCAACTGATAAATATCAGGCAGAAACACCAGACGAATGTACAGACACAATCAGGAATCATTCAAAAAGAACAGGGAGCACAAACACTAGAAGAGGTCCACAATACAATGAACAAGACCGACGTTAGTGTAACTCATGAACTCAAAAATCGACAAATTAACAAGAAGTTGCAAGCAACAATAATGTCTCAAATCAAAGACGTAGTCATACAAACAGAATTAGTAGGAACCTCTGCACATCCAACACCGACAAAACCTACATTTGATGTGCAAACACAATCAGGATCAGTGACGATAGATTCAGAAACACAAACACCACACGAACAGAAAATAATCCCAGATATAAAGGATGTGAGTGTATTTCATGAGTCACATCATGTACAAACAGTAAACAAGAAACTTCAAGCTGTGGTATACCATCCATCTGACGATGTGTGTTTGCAAACCGAAGAGGTAAGCGTACAACCTGTCAAACCCGTTGCACAGGTGTTTTCTCGAGCTCCGCAAGTTGCACATAAGCAAACGCAAGCAGAATGGCTGAAGGTCAATATAAAAACATTTGATATACAAGCACAATCAGGGATGGTAGTCAAGACACAGTCAACACAAACTATGCTAGAAGAACAACCAGTATTCCAAACTGCAGACGTCAGTGTGATTCATAGTGAAAAATCACCTTCACTGGTGAACAAGAAACTTCAGGTAAACATGCGTCAATCAGTTGACAACACAAGCACACAGACTGATCCGATGACTCAAGTCCCTACTGTATTACCGAAAACCACGTTCGATGTTGTGACTCAGTCTGGTACTATCCACTGTGCACAGTCAGTTCAGACCATTCCAGAGGAACGACCAGTATTCCATACTGCAGACGTCAGTGTGATTCATAGTGAAAAATCACCTTCATTAGTAGGCAAGAAGGTTCAGGCAACAATGCGTCAATCAGTTGACAACACAAGCACACAGACTGATCCGATGACTCAAGTCCCTACTGTATTACCGAAAACCACGTTCGATGTTGTGACTCAGTCTGGTACTATCCACTGTGCACAGTCAGTTCAGACTATTCCAGAGGAACGCCCGGTATACCACACGGTCGGTGTAGGAGTTGATCATACTGGGAAATTGCAGCCCGTGTTATACGAGAACGTTCAGGCAACAATGCGTCAATCAGTTGACAACACAAGCACACAGACTGATCCGATGACTCAAGTCCCTACCGTATTACCGAAAACCACGTTCGATGTTGTGACTCAGTCTGGTACTATCCACTGTGCACAGTCAGTTCAGACCATTCCAGAGGAACGACCAGTATTCCATACTGCAGACGTCAGTGTGATTCATAGTGAAAAATCACCTTCATTAGTAGGCAAGAAGGTTCAGGCAACAATGCGTCAATCAGTTGACAACACAAGCACACAGACTGATCCGATGACTCAAGTCCCTACCGTATTACCGAAAACCACGTTCGATGTTGTGACTCAGTCTGGTACTATCCACTGTGCACAGTCAGTTCAGACCATTCCAGAGGAACGACCAGTATTCCATACTGCAGACGTCAGTGTGATTCATAGTGAAAAATCACCTTCATTAGTAGGCAAGAAGGTTCAGGCAACAATGCGTCAATCAGTTGACAACACAAGCACACAGACTGATCCGATGACTCAAGTCCCTACTGTATTACCGAAAACCACGTTCGATGTTGTGACTCAGTCTGGTACTGTCCACTGTGCACAGTCAGTTCAGACCATTCCAGAGGAACGACCAGTATTCCATACTGCAGACGTCAGTGTGATTCATAGTGAAAAATCACCTTCATTAGTAGGCAAGAAGGTTCAGGCAACAATGCGTCAATCAGTTGACAACACAAGCACACAGACTGATCCGATGACTCAAGTCCCTACTGTATTACCGAAAACCACGTTCGATGTTGTGACTCAGTCTGGTACTATCCACTGTGCACAGTCAGTTCAGACCATTCCAGAGGAACGACCAGTATTCCATACTGCAGACGTCAGTGTGATTCATAGTGAAAAATCACCTTCATTAGTAGGCAAGAAGGTTCAGGCAACAATGCGTCAATCAGTTGACAACACAAGCACACAGACTGATCCGATGACTCAAGTCCCTACTGTATTACCGAAAACCACGTTCGATGTTGTGACTCAGTCTGGTACTATCCACTGTGCACAGTCAGTTCAGACCATTCCAGAGGAACGACCAGTATTCCATACTGCAGACGTCAGTGTGATTCATAGTGAAAAATCACCTTCATTAGTAGGCAAGAAGGTTCAGGCAACAATGCGTCAATCAGTTGACAACACAAGCACACAGACTGATCCGATGACTCAAGTCCCTACTGTATTACCGAAAACCACGTTCGATGTTGTGACTCAGTCTGGTACTGTCCACTGTGCACAGTCAGTTCAGACCATTCTAGAGGAACGACCACGATTCGATAATGTTGATGTGAGCGTTGATCATTTTGAGACTGTGCCTATTGTTCGGTCAACAATCTCATCGACCATGCATACTCTTCCAAACACTTCACAATCAACACAAACCACACCTACTAAACTAGCTGATACATTCTGTCAAGCAACGTTATCTTCTACTACATACGATGTCCAAATTCAATCTGGAGTAATGCATTCAATAGATGGGACACAGACTGTCGATTTAAGGTCACCAATTGAGATGAAAGAAATGAGTGTCGCACATGAGAAGGAACGAACTGTTCTGAAAGGGAAGAAACTTCAGGTTCATTGTGATTCAACTGATTTGGGAGTCCAAACAGATCAAATTACTCCCATTGTTCGATCAACAATCTCATCGACCATGCATACTCTTCCAAACACTTCACAATCAACACAAACCACACCTACTAAACTAGCTGATACATTCTGTCAAGCAACGTTATCTTCTACTACATACGATGTCCAAATTCAATCTGGAGTAATGCATTCAATAGATGGGACACAGACTGTCGATTTAAGGTCACCAATTGAGATGAAAGAAATGAGTGTCGCACATGAGAAGGAACGAACTGTTCTGAAAGGGAAGAAACTTCAGGTTCATTGTGATTCAACTGATTTGGGAGTCCAAACAGATCAAATTACTCCCATTGTTCGATCAACAATCTCATCGACCATGCATACTCTTCCAAACACTTCACAATCAACACAAACCACACCTACTGAACTAGCTGATACATTCTGTCAAGCAACGTTATCTTCTACTACATACGATGTCCAAATTCAATCTGGAGTAATGCATTCAATAGATGGGACACAGACTGTCGATTTAAGGTCACCAATTGAGATGAAAGAAATGAGTGTCGCACATGAGAAGGAACGAACTGTTCTGAAAGGGAAGAAACTTCAGGTTCGTTGTGATTCAACTGATTTGGGAGTCCAAACAGATCAAATTACTCCCATTGTTCGATCAACAATCTCATCGACCATGCATACTCTTCCAAACACTTCACAATCAACACAAACCACACCTACTAAACTAGCTGATACATTCTGTCAAGCAACGTTATCTTCTACTACATACGATGTCCAAATTCAATCTGGAGTAATGCATTCAATAGATGGGACACAGACTGTCGATTTAAGGTCACCAATTGAGATGAAAGAAATGAGTGTCGCACACGAGAAGGAACGAACTGTTCTGAAAGGGAAGAAACTTCAGGTTCATTGTGATTCAACTGATTTGGGAGTCCAAACAGATCACACTATGTCTACTGTTCACTTGGACAGTAAATTAACTCAAACTGCTTTAGTTCGTTATACGGATGTATCATGTCAGTATACTGAACTCACGAAGCCTTCATTAACTAGTCATGCAGTAACGTCCAGAGTTGTTAGCATTCAAACAGATGTGCCTTTTTCAACAAACGTACGTGTGGATCAACGAAACAAGAAATTCCAAGTGAATCTAATATCGCCTTCATCACCAAAGACTCTAATAAATGTAGCCTCTATAGGAACACAAACTTCAGATTATAGATACCAGGATATAAGTATTGAACAAGTTGATAAAACAATAGTTTCATCAGTGGATGCACATGTGGTTCATGATTCAGCGTCTAATGTGACAAACACTTCACAAGCAATACCAAAAATAAAAATAGATCAAGAGTGCCAAGTAAAAATAACTCCTCAACAATATCAAAAGAAACTTCAGTATGGTTCCTCATTTTCTACATTAAAAAATACATCTTCTCAAACTATACAGGACAGTTGTCTTTATGACCATCATAAAACTTCTTCGTCATCAAGTATTGGAGTTCAGGCAAGTAATATACGACCAGTAGTTACAGTAGATACAGGGACTCAAGAAACAAGACCAAGTGAGACTTCTCCATCACCTTTACAAGTTAAGAACAAAAAACTACAAGTCTACCCATCTAAACTTGGTGAACAAGTAGAAGAAGAATTTACACATCCTCAAGACACAATCTCCAAAGGAATGTCAACCTCATTAACTGAGATAACACAAACAGATGAGTGTTTACTAAAAAATATTGAATGTTTCAAGTGTATATCACGGGGATATGATAAGAAAACAATTGATAAAGATATGCAATCGGAAGAAAAATCAATAAGAACAAAACAAACAGCATCCAGTACAGTGAAATCAAACTACTTTACACGTATTCTCCAAATGGAAACTATTCCTGACAAGCCAAAAGCATCAGACACATCCGATGTGCTGAAACTATACAGAGAGTCCGGCTATAGAGCTAGGGGTGAATCAAAGAATATCCAAACTGATACGTTTTTGTTGGGAAGTATTCAATTACCTGAAAGTAGGGAAGTGGATAGCATAGGAAAAATTTCGAAAAAGACCACAATTGTTCAGTTAGAAAAGTTAACTACGGATAAGTGTGTAGATACTATGCCCTTTGAAAAAGGACTTATAGAATCTCAAATATCCTATCATGATACCCAGATGTCTGAAAGGAGAAATATAAAGTTACTAAAAGAAACACCATGGTCAGAAGCACAAGTATCAAATGTTCTGCAAGATATTCAATATGAAATAAGACATCCTCAAATAATAGATTCAAGTGGAAGTTACTCACCTCAACAAAATTCAGTTGCAGTTAGTGCACGACCAACTACTCATATGCTTGCTCATACAGAATCAACAAGCAGAAATGGAAATGGAAAGGCTAAGACACCGTATCAATATTTAAAACCAGATGTTGTAAGTTGGGGAGTACAATTTGCACCAGTGACACTTACTGGGGTAACGCAAACCACTGAATCTTCGAAACATAAGTTAACTATCGATTCACCAGTAAATATAGGTGTACAAACTGATGCGATTGAAGATGACTATTATATAAAAAGAGTTGTGACGACAATAGCTAGGAAAGGTTTGTCATCTTATTGTCGTCGAGGTCCAGTAGCCAAAAGAATTGTCGAACACACTGATCTATTGACATCGAGTTTACCTAGTAACCTAGATGAAGAGTTTGATGAAGAAACAACAATTGCACCAAGAACAACGAAGGTCACAACTATGCAAAAACGTGGAGATCGTCGAGTAGTACATGAAGAGTTACTTACAGAGGACTATAGGGAAAGAGGAAGTTCACTTGACTCTCATGTAGCCCACGAACGGTTTCTGAGAGAAACACACCCACAGGATATCGACTTGCATGGAATGCATGAACATGAGACAGGCATATATACTGATGCTGAAATCTGTTTGCAGAATTTACTGAAAGTTTGGGGAGAGCAATACTTGCTTTCTAGATTAAGAACGATCGGTAGATACTCAGGGCTTTCAGTTAGTCTTGATCGAAGTATACATACAGCAGAAAAATCACGGCTAGTTGAAGCGAAGACACAGTTTACTTCAACGGGAAACTTAGTGAGTCAAATCAGAAATCTTGAGAACATGGGAACACAGACTAGTGATATTCTCCTTACCACTCGACCTCCACATAAAAATAAACGGATACAACGTGGTCGTAGCTTCATTTCTGGAGGAACGAATCAGCCACCACCGACGCGTAGTGGCTCGGTAGTAAGTCCACTGTCGCCGACTACCGAAGAACTGACAAGTCACCATCGTCAGCACGGGATAACAAGCATGCAGACACGTACTTCTCATCCATTTAATTTGGCCACTACCACATTTACAGAGACTACACAAGAGCAATCGACATTCAGTATTGAACATACAGTCCAGACTTATATATGTCCAACATGTGGGAGTCAAGCTAGTATCCCAGTGACCGTTCATTCACAAATACAACCTCAAACACTTCCAATAACACAATTAAAAGACGCCCAATCACAAACTCGGTTTGTGGGGCAGATGACAGCTGATAATAACTGCACATATCTACCAACTTACCTAAGTGATGAGGAAGTAATTCGCATAAATCAGAGCCAGAAAATTGAAGACAGAGAATTTTCGGTGGTGACATGGCATCCAGCAGAAATACGAGATACAGAACGCCGTAGGGATAGCGACACAAGTAATCAGATACGAGATGAAGTTTGGGTTGATAGTCCTGGGAAACTGCTGGAACTCAAAATAACTGGAGTAATAGTACCTGGAACAAGCAAAATCGTTAGCGCAAGTGAAGCGTTTTATCGTGGTCTACTAAGAGTAGTATACTGGGATTATGAAAAACTTGGACCTAGGCAATCATCAGTAGATTCAACAGTTTCCATACCACTGGCAGATGCAGTGATTTCTAAGGCAGTTCGGTTAGCTAGCGATAGAATATCAACAGAAGCGCAGCCATCATTGGATGCCAAAATAGTTTGGAGAACACCAGAGATACAACGAAGTAGGTATCTAGTACATTCAATTAGACCTGATGCAGGTCAAAACAAACATAATCCAATTAATCTGGACGTTGCATCTGCAATACGAGCTGGTCTAATTGACAAAGAAACCGGTCGAATGTTGTTTACACATTCTGTTTACGAGTCACCATTCAGTACTGATTCACCGATAAGTAAAAAAGGCGATAGTAGCTCTGACCAAACTGAACGCTTGTCTGTCAGAGAAGCAATTTTACGTGGATTTTTAGTTGCAGAATTAATAGAACCAGAATCATCGTATATAACAAAGCAAAGCTTACCATTTATTGTCCCAAGCACAAGTTATTCACACTCTCCGACTGATGTTGACATTTGAACTGTTGCTTAATTATTATTATTATTATCATTGAAAATAAGCGAATACACATGAAACCTGTTTTGTAACCTAGAAAAACTGACCCTCGTCTGTGTATAAGTATGGTTCTCTTCCACAGAAAAAGTCGCATTATTCAATCAGCACTACGTTGTATGCGTGTGTAGCCAATTATTTCAAGTATCAACTTACTCCTTTTTTGTTTTTCGTCGTGTTTTTCCTCTTAAACAACAAAACAAAACGAAAACTATCACTTACCTAATCAAATATCCAGTATAAACAACCATAAAAATAATAATTTCTATTTTATTCTTTTTCTGTTGACATTCTATTAATAATAATAATAATAATAATAATAATAATAATAATAATAATAATAATAATAATAATAATAATAATAATAATAATAATAATAATAATAATAATAAGTTTATAGAAAGTTACATTAGTCTTTAGCGTAAATTTAACCTTAAAGGCATTTCGTATAAGCATCCTACGAGTAAAGTATTATGTTTAAATTGGTTCTAAACTCTTTGCTATTCAGAGACCAAACATAATAATTAATATAATATTAGGACATGAACTTCAAACATATGTAGAGTATAGTGATTACGTGGTTTACATCATGGATTGATTGTAGCTAGACAACAGAAAACCAAGAAGTACTGAGCAGACGTTTCGTCCAAGTACAGGAGTCCGCAGTAATGCGTACCTACTACCCTATTAGTGGTTGTACTTAGGAACCTCAAGCCTCACAGAAAGTGGTAAACTTCGGTCCACTGAGTAGGTATCTAACGGTTTACATTCCTAACTTCAGTCAATTTTCCATATTAAGCGATTATCATTCAAAACCATTGGTGAGTGATTGCCTCCTTCCCGATGCAGATGAAATCCACTGGTAACAGCTTTGCAATAGGTAGCATTAGTCCTAACTTCGACCCCTGGTGAATTCGTCGCTGGGCACTGTTGAGGAGTTCCATACTAGGACGAAGAGGCTATCTCGTACTTCTTAGTTTCCACTGGTTGTGTAGTTAGATACAGTGAGTCCGTGGTGCAAACTACAAAATTCAACAGCCTTCACAAAAGCATCTGTACTAGTTCCAAAACTATTGACTCAATTATCTGTTAATGAGCAAAAAATATATAGATAGATAGACAAAAGCAGTTGTTGAACAGAACTGACTAACGGTGAGATGCACAATTCAAGATATTATATATACAACAACTTTAAATTGTGAAAAAAAAAGAAAATTTTCCCGGTATTTATTCTTTTTCGAAACCAAGGTTACTAGTTTGGAAAGTATGCAGGGATTGATACTAATAACAAAGCTAAGAAGTTGAAAATCAATGAAAAGCAATAAAAGATATAATGACCTATTCGAGTACGAAACAGATGTCTAAACTACTGAGTCATAACAATATACTGGAAAGTGACGTTTTCTCATATCGATCAAACAACAGAGTCGAAATAATCAGACAATATTTGAAAGTTAATTCATACTGTAACTTGTTCAATTGTTCAAATACACGAATTTAGGTGACAATTGGACCTATGGTGCGTGAACTGGTCAACAGAAATACAGTTATTCCAATAAAATGAACAATTATGACTTTAATTTATTTCAAAGTTTATGCAGAAACAAAGCTATGTATTTGTTCCATAAGTTATGAATCAGAAATGTTTTTTCGGGAGATTAATATCAACACTAATTCGGTTTTCAAGACTATCTTAGGATGTAAGGGCAATCAAACATTAATGAACCAAAAACATGTATACCATATATAGCATTAAAAGATCAAAGTATTTAGAATATTTAAATAATGGAAATATCAACATCTTTTAGGCTATATGCTATTTTATTAGATATAATTAGGTATATATGAAGATCTTTGATAACAGTTCATAAAAAACACGTACGTCGAGTAGGATTAGAAAGATTTACTTGTGGTTGCTTATCACCTGTGCATAGCTTTTAACAGAAGTTGATAGAGATCCGAATATGAACATCAACTAAATGTTAAACGTTACCATATATCTATGATTATGTTAAAACACGTAGACAAATATGGGCAAAGACTTGACCAGGAGAACGTTGAAATAGTGAACAGAAACACAAAGACCGCTCAGTTTTTATGTTTTGCTAATTAGGTTAGTTAACAAAATCACTAAGCACACTGAAATAGGCTCACTTCATTAACCAGTTAGAACAAGTATTAACAACTATAAGGCCATGTAAGAATAGGTCCAAGGGACAAAGCAACCAAAATATATGTGCAAAAAATGACAGAAGGAACGTTAACAACAACTAATCAGATTCAATGTTGATAGAAAGGCGATGGGATCTTGTTCCAATAGAAAATATAGTTTATATGGAAAGTAAATAGAGGAAAATTACCCTTAGGCAATGAGGTCTAACAATATTTCGATTCCGGTGAAATCAAATCTCTGGGCGGGATAGTTTAGTCATGAAGCTCTCATTACATTTCTAGACATCACAAGTCCCAAACAGAAGTGAGTCTTTGGAATATCTCATCCCTTGATGCAGAATAAAACGAACATTTCTTTCGTGCTTACAACTGTTTTCGTATCGAAGTATAACATAATATTAAACTACAGATATTCGTGGATGAAGAAAGCTGAAATAACAATAATTATCAGTACCATATGTGCAGGCGTAAGATAAATATAGAAAACATAACGGGAGTGGGACAGTAATTATTTGGAACTCCAAGACTGACAAATTAGTTTGTGTAATGAATTATGAGCGATTTGAAGAGTTTACAGAAGTTTTAATAATTTGGTGAATGAAAATCACAAATGAATAGAAATATTATTCCTAATTCTATGAAATAACAATCAGTCAAGTGAGAATTACATAAAAAAGTACAGACAATGATACAGCCAGATCTCACTACCTAAGGATAATTCTTTTATTTTTTATTAAATTTACATACAAACTATGTTTTCTAGTATGATCTAGATTCTTATGATTGATCTATAAACCTCTACCGTCTCCTTTCATCTACTGGTAGAGATAATTTATTTGAACACATAAATATTGGTACAAAGGGGCACTAAATACATATACGCCACACAAGTCACTTGATTTGTGTGAAAAAAACTTAAAAGTAAATAATTGATCACCGTTTGTGCAATGAACTCCAATCGATGAAGACGAATCCACGTCCTTCATTAAACCAGATGAAATAATCGAAAACGACTGTCAGTTATTAACTAGTACCTTCCACAAATATGACTAATGAAACACCAGTGTGTGCAATGAACTCCGAACCATACGAATTGTGTCAACGCTTAAAATACTGTTATCCTACCACAATAGAGGTAGATGAAGGTTTAGTAGTGCAACCCATAGTTTTGGAGTTGAGAGACTAAACCATCAATTCTTAACATCTTATTACATAAGTCATTGAACAGTCTTATCAGCACATTTATGACATAGATTAGGGAGATTTCCCTTATAAGTGGGTTTTTTTCTGTTGACATCTCAGGTGAAGTTGTGTTTTAGTATGCTGAAAGCTAGAAGTACTTGCTTATCGATGAGATTTTGGTGATATGAACACCTATATTTTCAACCTGTTCTATTAGTTTTAATATTAATTGATTTACAAAACGTATCATTAAATCAAATGCCTGCCTTCTTTCAGACTTTAATAACAAACTAAAATGTAACTAATTTCATTATTCTTAGTTATTTAAAACTGGCTGAACGTATTTCAGGTAGGAAAAAAAATCGGTTAATGCAATTGTATACCTCCACCAGTTTAGATGTTTGAAACTTGCTATGTGTAGCCTAGCTATTGATAGTAGTAATGCGTCATGCTGATCAACTCAAGTATGTATGGAAAAAGTTAGATTTATGTATGGAGTCAATGATCATTGGTCTAAGCTGCGTCGGAGGATTTTTATTATGTAGTCTACGTAATAATTTTAATCCATAACTGACAGTAATTAAGACTGGTCACCGTCACATGCACTCGTTATTTCTACATTAAAACCATGAGTATTTCTATTATTTTAAGGATTTTACGTTATTTTCCTAGTTTTAACTAACATTGTTAAAATTATCTTTATTCCCTTAACTAATTTAAGCTCTATGGAAATAGATGTCAAGCGAGTAACTTGAGCCGATACGTGTGTGGGGGATAACCCACATTCTTTGTGTTTAAATGTATTCTTCAAAATAATTATTGGATTGTTCTGACTCTTTGATGCATTGGTATATTAATTTCAAGTTTTCTTACACTAATGTACAAGCACATAAAGTCAGCAACAAAAGTAACCTCAGATGAGTGGACAGACAAGTTAGGATATATATATATATATATATATATATATATATATATATATATATATATATATATATATATATATATATATGCTGAGTGCGTGTAACAAAATAATTAACCTCAACATACGGGCGTAATGAACTTTAAATCAAGCTGCTTAAAGTTGGAGAAATCAACATTCCATGGCTTATATAACCCAATAGGTGTCGAGTTCCATGTTAATGAGTATCTGACGGTGGAAAACGAACAATAACGTATCAAAACTAGTTGACAATAATACTAATACTACTAATAATAATAAACAACCGTTACTATGTCCTGAATTACCTATATTCTGAATCAATGAAGGGCGAGTCAGTAAACTGACCAGAAAACTAAACCGCTATCAGCTGTAAAATTAATGATAACTAATCTATAAGGAGTACTAGAACTAGTGGAAGTATTGACGTTTCCTTAATAAATACTAGACCATTGTTACATATTTGTACTTTTATTCCATGACTTTACTATAAAATGAATTTGAATGGTGTTGATTGCATATTAGTAATTCAAAATAAACAGAATAAGGATATTGTACTGTGTTAAAACATTTCGACAACAAAAAGGAAAGTCTTTACGGTGAATTTATTCGAACAACCGATAAAGCAAACAACGTAGGAATCACAATTCATTTGACGAAATTTAAAATACATTTAAGAAAGATCCATTGTCTCAACACTATGAGCAGGTATATCTCGAACAACACGTGTTGTGACCACATCGAACTCAACATGATGAACACTTTTGTGGAGAACAGAAGTGGTACCTTCCGGAGGATTATACTTTTCTGCTCTGAAAAATTAATAAGTAAAGAAACTAGTTTTGAGTATAGCAAGATATAAAGGTTGATAAAATGTAGAAATGACAATTTGTTGACACCATAATGTAAAGCTATAATTTGGTCACATTATTTTATGCTAACTTTTATTATGTAAGAGCTGATAAGTCTACTTTGTTTTGTAGCGAAACATTAGCAAATATAGTAGTCGAAACTCGGATGTTACTTCGTTAGATTTGAATTTCATTTCATTTACTATTTTCATAAGTTTTTACGAAACGGTTATCAACCTGTTATATAAATTTGGACTGTCAAATGGCAAAATTGTTTAGTGGTTTAGATTGTTAATTTTTTTAGTGCTTCACTTGATTTCTGATGAAATGGAATACGAAGAACATTAGAACTGATGGTAATTATCCACTTAGATTAGAACATTGAGTTTACAAGATTGCGCTGCGCTCACTGGTCATTATCTATAGAAAGATGATACTATCTGTACCAAGAGATAATTAATAGAGTTTTGAGTATGTACTAAGGACTTCTCAGGTGACAAAACACTGGTTACAGATGAAAGAACTTAATGAACTAAACATCTAAACATTCAAGTGGTTAACACCAGTTACTTAGACCATAAAGTGGACATTATGTTTTGGATAGTTGAGGACTTTAGCTGCCAATCAAATTAGTTTCATATTTTGACAGGAATTAAAAGTAGAACGTATATCTAGTGAGATGGCAAGTTACACATAAATAACAGGAACCAAACATTAAAGTCCAATATATTTGTTGACTGGGTTAATCTAACACCTAACAAGAAACATGAAAATACACAATTCGTTTATGTTTGAATAAAGTTTATATACGAAAAACTAAGGAAAGTCATTAGATGGTATTTGAAAAATACAAAAAAGCAACTACCACCTACGGGGTTTGTGTGTCACAAGCTTGGAATTATTACTTAACTTGTAATGGGTACAAAACGTGACTTTGTAACCCCTGCGCTTGACTAGATGAATATGAATAATCCAATGCTCCCGAATGCCTGGTGCGGCCAAGGGTGAGAAGAGTCCACTCATCCTCTCGAAATATCCTCATATGGCCACTGCCAAGGAAGTCTTGCTCATTGCCTCCTCGAGGAAGGGATGTTGTTTACGAAATTAAAAGGACACAAAGTGAATGTTCGGCGCTTAAACCGAGTCAGTGGGTACGAAAGATTCACCTAGGGGAGTTGGGGGACCTTAATTACAAACCAGTCTTGCATGTAGATTTCAGGATGCTGAGGAAACAAATGGCATATGAACCTATTCTTGGTCACCGGCTACCATAGGACTGTATATCTTAACCTTGGTCCACCGACTTGTGGATTAGATCTTCAGGTCAGAAGCTCGGGAAGTGGCCCCCTAAAAAAATCACTTGTTTCGGTTTGGGCGACCAGGCAGTATCCCAACTCCCATACAAATGTTGTGTGGTGCATAAATATTTTAGTACCCGTTTTTAACAGTGTTTATGTGTTTAAATAAATAATAAGAACCTAACGGATGATAATCGACAACACTTATAATACTGAGTCATATATTTAAACAAAAATGATCTGGTAAAGTTTTACCATACAAATATCTATAACTGCCGTACATATTTGATATATTTCCGTCTACAGTTGGTGTTGAGATGCTTAATTATTAACACCAAATTTGAGTAAAGTGGAGAGAATCCATTCAAAAAGCTCCATGAAATGAAAACACTTTTAAACAGTGAAACTTTTTTTAAATGGCAGCAAATAAAGACGAAAATTATACATACCTCTTGCCTTTGACATTAGCTTCATCATATGATCGTATATAGGTTGTCCCATCTTTAGTAATAATACATATATCAACATTACTACCAGACCCCATATCATTGAATATCCCAGCTGCTATTCCATCACGTACTAATTTTACGGCTTCATCTTGCTGAAAATTGGAAATATGTCCAGTCGTATTACACTTAATTATTTGAATTATTCTTGAAACATAAAATAACGAAAACACTGACAATTTCTGGATAGATGATGAATATTTGACAGTGATAAAACACTGTAAGGAAGAGTTGTTTATAAAGTTAGTGTGCTTAGTTTAGTAATCACTGCACTAATTAGTCAAATAGCCATAAGGAACATAGAACCTGGGAAATATGTGGAATGGCTTTAATTCCCGCACCATATAAGCACAGAGATGAAATCAAGACAAATTCCATAGTAGGGATAGTATCAATGGTAGTAAGAAAGATTAGCCAGAGATTACATGATTCGAGGAAGAACGAATTTGAGAAATAAAAAGTGTGACCTCAAGTCTCTATCGTTTAAGATAATCTCCCAGACCACAATCAGATAGTCTTCATCTACCAACACGACTCAATCCAATAGTCGGTAATTTTATGGGCTTTTTCTAAATTAACGCTATACCAGTTAATACTGTGCGATGAAGTGGATAGTGGTTGGAGATACATAATATATGTTTCAATCACTTTAATTGATGAAGACTCTGTTGGGGACGATATATCCTCAAAACTCATATCATATTGATTAAATGATTAAATAGCAGTCAATTGATGAACTCATTGATTAGTGTTTAAAAATTTCCCATGACAATATCGATTATATATATTTGTATATCTACGTTTTAAATTGTGTTTGTGGGCTCGCTCGTTTTCTGACAGTTTGCAGAATATATTTTCCATACCAAGCTTGGACTTCTCCTTCTAGGTAGCGGAGCAGGAATGCATCAATAGCTAGATTACTGGTCTTTGGTCACTGAGTCTTGTTCTCGTTCGCAGATTAAGTGAACTTGTGAAGCTTCAAACCTAACAGACTCATAATCTCATAAGACGATTTACCATCTTTGCTTGGTACTCTATGTTTAACTTCAGCGTTGCTTTGAGGACATTTGTGATGAAAAACCTACAGCCTACCCATATCTTTTCGTTTCACAGTAATACCAAGCGAGCCCCTAAATGCCCTGGTATGGCCGAGAGTAGGATGGATTCGCCCTCCCTCTCGAAATGCTCTCACACGGTCACGTGTATACATCCTCTGCCAGGGAAGTCCTACTCACTGTCTTCTCGTGGCATTACTGTTGTTTACGAAAATGAGAGGACGAAAAGCGAATGTCCGGCGCTTTAACCGGATTCCAAACCAATGGTGCACATGGGCTCCAGTATCCTGCGGGAACAAACGGCGTATGAACCAATCGTTGGTCACCGGCTTCCATGGGATTGCATCTCCTTACGATGCTCCACTGCCTTGTGGATTAGACCTTCAGGTCGAAGGCTCGGGGTGTGGCCCCCTGAGAAAACTACCTGCTTCGGTTTGGGCACCCGGGCAGTATCACAGCCCACACACAATTATGATGAACTGTCTATATTTATGGAAAATACTCTTCTTGCTGCGATTAACAATCAAATGATCCACATTATTATTATTTACTACATCATTTATTCACTCTCTTTTATTCCCACTGTGTATCCTTATTTTCCGGCTTATACAGCAGCTCGCCTATGGTGGAAATTCGGCTCTATCTAACGTTCTCAAGTCACCGCCTGATTGAAAATTGTGTGCTACCACCGAATATGAGTACTGAAACAGTTTTTCTGAAACCACGTGCACCATTTAAACTGGCTGCCTTCAACGTTCGCAAACTTATGCAGGTCGGACAACAGATAGGGCTGGCTATGTCTGTTGCTAGTAAGTATCGAATCGAGCTAGCTACCACTCCACCGAAAAATATAGATGAGCATTGGTTGCAATTGCATGACGCCATGAAAATGGCGGGTACAGTCAGTTGTGGGTTTGCGAAACGTCCCGCTTATAAGCACTGGGTTTCTTCAGGTTCCTTACAACTCATCGAAGCCCGTCGGTCTACTCCGAGTGACCGTGAGTTTGACCACAAACGAAGGATGTTACGTAAGGAAATTGGGCAAAGCTTGCGTAAGGACCGAAAAGCCTGGTGGTCGATGCGTGCTAATGAGCTGGAAGCGGCAGCTGCATCTGGTAACTACCGGAAGCTCTTCCAGCTCATCCGAGCCACTGGCAGCAAGAAGTCTGGTGTGAGTGAAACAATCTGCGAGGATGATGGGATGCCAATCACTAACATCCATCGACGTCTTGGACGATGGGCAGAATTTTTCGAAGGGCAGTTCAACTGGCCTGCTGCTCCGGCAACATCGGTCAGACTGTCCTGCCCTCCATGGCCGGTGACGACTGATCCACCAAACGAGGAGGAAGTCCGCAAGGAACGCCAACTCTTGAAGCGTTACAAATCACCTGCCCCAGATGACTTACCTCCAGCTCTTTTTAAAGATGGTGGTGACTTTCTGACTAAGCAACTGACGACGTTGTTTACAAAGGTTTGGGAACTAGAGAGTGTACCAACGTCGTGGAATGAGTCGATAGTTGTCCCTATCTTTAAAAAGGGTTCACCCCGTTCCTGTAACAACTATCGAGGGATAAGTCTACTTCCGATTGCGTCCAAGCTATTGGCTTCCGTCATACTTCGTAGGTTGTTAAAAACCCGAGAAAGATTGACTCGCGAGGAGCAGGCTGGGTTTCGTTCCGGTCGAGGATATATTGATCATATCTTCACCCTCCACCAAATGTTAGAACACCGCCATACTTATCAAAGGTCAACAACCGTAGTGTATCTTGACATCAGGGCTGCCTTCGATTCGTTGGACAGGACTGTTCTCTGGGATTGTCTATTGAAGAAGGGTGTGCCTGAGAAGTTTATTAACATCCTGAAAGCCCTATATACAAACACTTCAGGCAGAGTGAGGGCATACAACCACCTCTCTCCATTGTTCCATTCGAGCAGTGGGGTTAGGCAGGGTTGCCCAATCTCACCATTCCTCTTCAACTTTGCCATCGATAACATTCTGGAAACAGCTCTGATGAATGTAAGTAATGGTGGTGTGGATCTGTTGCCTGGAGAAAGACTTCTCGACCTTGAGTATGCGGATGATATTGTCTTACTGTGCGATAATGCCCAAGGCATGCAATCCACACTTAATCAGTTGGCAATCAGTGTCCGTAAGTATGGTATGTGCTTTGCACCTTCGAAGTGCAAAGTACTTCTACAAGACTGGTAGGATTCTAATCCTGTACTCACTCTGGATGGTGAACAGATAGTAGTCAAGAAGTTCGTGTATCTCGGTAGCTGCATAAGTGCTGGTGGTGGCGTGAGTGATGGGATCAGTGCACGTATAATGAAAGCCAGAGCGGCTTACGCCAATCTGGACCATCTTTGGCGCCTTCGTGATGTTAGTCTGGCTGTAAAAGGTCGGATCTACAACGCGTCGGTGAGAGCAGTTTTGCTCTATGCTTGTGAAACCTGGTCTCTCCGAGCTGGGGACGTTAGACGACTCTCTGTGTTCGATCATCGCTGTCTCCGAAGGATTGCTGACATTCAGTGGCAACACCATGTCAGTAATGCAGAGGTTCGGCATCGTGTGTTCGGGCACAGAGATGATAATTCAATTGGTGTCACCATCTTGAAACACCGACTTCGGTGGCTTGGACATGTTCTACGAATGTCGTCCCAGATAATTCCACGCCGTGTATTATTTGCCGAATCTGGGACTGGTTGGAAAAAGCGGAGAGGTGGTCAGTGTATGACATGGTGTCGTGATATGAAAGAAAGCTACAGAGAGCTAGCCTTTGTTGGTCCTTAACGACTCCCTGGTTGGGGTCCTTGAGATGGTGCGACACTGGCTAGAGACGTTATCAGATATGTCTCAGAATAGAAGCCAGTGGCGATCCTGTCGTAACCTTCTTTTGCTTTCTTCATAAAAAGTGGTTGTTTCTTCCTTAACTGAAAGATTTCTTCTGATTGTACCTTTTTGTTTCCCCCATTATTATTATTACACTACCTTACACTAATCTGTACGTTATTTTTTTTTACGCTCCTTACTTTTTTCCTTCTCTCATTGTTTTGTGTGGCGCATATGTATTTGGTGCCCTTTTGTACCAATATTTATGTGTTCAAATAAATAATAAATAAATAAAATAATACCAAGCGAACTGCTGGACAGTATACACACCCATATGTTGGCAGACAGGAATAATGGCAACATTATGAATGATGAGAGTAGGTAGAAACCAAGAAAGCTTTCCGAACGTGTCGAAATCTGGTCAATCACTATCCCACCAGGGTTAATATGACTTCCAAGATGAGTAAGGTAGCTAATGTACTCAAATGATTTACTCCCATAACAATCCGACACACAATAACCATATAGATCATTTCACAATAAACCAGCGGTTACACTTGCATTTAAACATTATTATTACAGGTAGTCATTAGGAACTCAGACTAGGTCTTTAATGTGTTGAAAAATAAACCCGATCGCCAACGAATCTCAAGGAAGGTGTGTATGGTAGAATAGTAGCGGAGAGTATTGAAGTTGAGATTACTTTACATATTGTTTATATTTCCATTGTCTAATTGTTAAACAATTAGATCATATTTTTACATTCCCTGTATTGCAGTCTCACGTTGAACTACTTAATTGTGGCTATATGCTCTACTGTTTCTTACCCATTGTTATTATTTACCTTTTGTTCCGTTTTTTTGGTGCTTATGGTTTGATTGTTTCCAAGCTATAAATTCATGATAATCCATGTACGGTACCGGCCGTTTATTATTCATCGGGTCATTGAAGAATAAGAGGAAATCTGTCCTACAAGCATAGAGCGAATTTAATCAGAATATACAGTATGATTGTTGACACAACAATAACCCGAAAACGTGGACCACAAGACAATTCAAAAACTCTGTTTTAGGTTGTGGAGACTGTTGAATTTCGTTGAAATCATGAACCGATCAATGTTAGACCAACACTGAAAACCCGGAAATACTGGATGGCCGTTCCGTCATAGTATGGGACTCCTCAGCAGCGCGCATCCGCGATCCCTTACGCGGGGTATAAACCCGAGACCGGTTTCACGCAGACGCTTAATCTCTAGACCACTGAGCCTACATCCAACCGTATTAATGGCTTAGTGGTCTAGAGATAAAGCGTTTGCGTGAAACCGGTCTCGGGTTCATACCCCGCGTAAGGGATCGCGCATGCGTACTACTGAAGAGTCCCATAGTACAACAGAACGGCCATCTAGTGTTTCCGGGTTTTCAGTGATGATCTAACATTGATCGGTTCATGATTTCAATGAAATTTAAGAACATGTCCCTCATGAAGTTAATAACAACTAACATGTGCATAACCACTAAGTCCTCGAATTAGACTTAATTATTTTTTAGAATCTCATGTTATAGAATGTTAGTAAGATTAGAAAAACTCGACTGTTTGTGCATAAAACAGTTTGAAATGTGAACTTCCTGTAATTCCATTGACAGGTACATAAGAATCCATCTACGAAAGAGTCGCTTGGTGATTAAAGTACTTAGCTTTCAACTAGGTCGCAGACTATTAGACGCAGCTATCGCCTTCACAAGGTCTGTTGTTCAGTTGAGGACGACTGGTGATAGTGAGGTTTGTATCAGACAACCAACATCTGTAGTAACGCTCTCTCATGACGGAAGTAGGGTAAGAAAGAGGTATTGAGGCTAGGACATATCCAAATTCCAAACGGACAAATGAACTTACTTCCATGTCAAATTTAAATCTTGATTCAAGTACAGACATACACGCAAGACTCCCACTACCCATTGTGATATATGGTAATTTATCCGTTGACCCATGCGGTGCAATACTATACAAATGAGGGCCTGTTGAGTCCACACCACCTAGTACGAGTGCAGCACCAACATAACCCTATAGATTCAAAATAATACAGGAAAGTGACTACCTGATACTGATAAAGATAGCGTTTAAGGAGACGAAGTGGAGAGATAACACGAGGAGTCCTGCCCGTATTCAAACGGTGAAGCTCGACTTGCGAAGAAATCATCAGTGTAACCATTTGAGTGTCGGCTGCAGTTCCAGCTCCACAGCAACTAAATCGTTATTTGAAGTAGGACTACATACTATATATTTTCTGCAATGCGATGAATTTTTGAGCAGTTTTTCTCAGCAACTACGCTACCTTCTGTTGCCCGTGTATCTGCACCTAGAACTATTCCATTCTAAGGGAGTGCTCATCAAATTTATTAATAAGTACCTTGAAAACGACTCCGCATATTGTTGTTCCAGTCTTTACTGCTTTGGGCAATTTAAAGCCTTTTTGTTCGATGACTTTATTCCTGGTTTAAGCATGAATATGAGATGAGTGTCCACAAACCTGTAACAATTTTCGAACGAGAAACCACCAGATTTCCTATCAAGGACAAGGCAACTCATGATGAAGCCAAAATTCCACAAGCCCGCCCTACGAAGGTCAGTCTTAGGAAGGGATTTTTATGTTTCAATCCTAAATTCGGTCATCAAAACGAGTGATTTATTCGTTTGTTGAGACCAACTTCTGTGTAGTTGGAGAGAACTTAAGGCTAAAGAGAGACAAGATCTTAGCAATATTCATCCAGAGGGTGAAGCCGGAAGTGACCTCCAACATTTGACTACTTTGAAGGAGTTGAAGGTGTGTCTACAGTCCGTTCTGTTGTGTTGTGTCTCTAGTTTCTGTGTGTTACTCCTTAGATTTGTGTTGGAGATAAACTTAAGTAGGTGTTCAAGGGGATGCCCAGAACTATTTAGGATGCTGTAAGCCATTAGATCACCTCTAATACGCCTGTACTCTGATGAGTAAATGTTGAGTGATCATAGGCGCTGTTCATAAGGTTTGAATTTGAGTCCACGAAATAATTTTTAGCTCGCCGTGGGATACGCTCCAGAGTGTCCTTATCCTTGTGGAGTGAGGGAGGAAATACTTCAGTCTTCAGTCTTCCGTCTTCAGTAATAAGGATAGTAGGTTGATGAACCTGTGTTAATCCTGACACATTGCTTTCCAGTGAAGGTCCAGCTTCTCCTTGAAAGTATTCACTGATGGGGCTGATACCACTTGTTCGGGTAAGGCGTTCCAATGATTGACTACTCGATGAGAAAAACGGGATCCCATTTTAAGTTTATTAGATCGTGGTTTATGAACCTTCTTGCTATGACCTCGGAGATTATTTGTGCTCGAGGGAGCAAAAAGATAAGACATATTAACATCCAAATCATAATTAAAGATACGAAATGCCAGTATAAGGTCACCTCGTGTCCTAAGATACGACAAGGGGAAAAGATTTGGCCGTTTTAAGCGCTCATCGTAAGGGAGTCTAGAAAGACCCTTCACTAATTTCGTTCCCACATGCTGGACACGCTCAAGGGAGTTAGTATCCTTTACCAGACACGGGCTAGCTGCTTGGATACAGTACTCTAAATGTGGTCTAACATATATGGGATATAAAATTCGAAACGTTTCCTCGTCAAAAGATTTGAACGCTCGGTGAAGTGACCATAACGCACGAAAACCTTTGACAGCGGCTGCTTTGCAATGCGCAGTTGTTTTTAAATCATGACTTAATATTACTCCTAAGTCCTTATGCTCTTGAACGCATGGAAGAGGTTTGCCATCAATAGTATAATGGTAACTATTACCGTGACCTATGTGTATTAGCACACTCTCCCTAGCATTGATTTCTAAGCCCCACTCTCGAGCCCATCTAACTAAATCGTTTAAGTCAGCTTGAAGATCCACATGATCAGCCGCACTTTTTATTGTTCTCCAAATTTTTACATCATCCGCAAACAATAATGTCGACGACCTAAGTAACAGTGGTAACTCATTAACGTAGAGAAGGAAGAGCAGGGGGCCTAAGATGGTGCCTTGGGGTACACCACTTTTGACCGGCTCCCAATCGGATAGCGTTCCATTGACCCTAACTCTCTGTCTGCGGTCACATAAGAAATTTCCTATCCACTCATGTGCAGTACCTATTATTCCGAAGCTCGTGAGCTTCTGCATAAGACCTACGTGTGAAACCTTGTCAAACGCTTTGCTAAAATCTATGAATATCACGTCGACAGACAGACCGTGATCTAGGGCTGCTGTCCAATCCTCCCTCGCAATAAGCAAGTTAGTCAAGCATGAACGCTTGTTACGAAATCCGTGTTGCTCAGGAGCTAACAGATTGTGTAAATCTATGTGGCTTAGCAACCTAAACCGAATTATCTTTTCGAGTAACTTGACGACTATGCTAGTTAGACTGACAGGCCGGTAGTTAGATACTATCTGTCGCTTACTGTCCTTAAATATAGGACTAACTATAGCGTCCTTCCAATCTCTAGGGAGTTGAGCGAGTGGGAGGGACATGTTGAAGAGTGTCGCAAGCGGTTTTGAAATAATGTCCGCAAGAGATGATAGCAACCGTGGATGTAACCCGTCAGGGCCCGGTGTCTCACCATGTTTGAGGTTAGTTATCAACGGAAGGACAGTTTCCTCAGTCACATGTACAGATTAAATGGTTGGAACCTCGGTGTGAGTGGGACAAGTATTTGTTACAATCAACGTAGAGAAGACTTGGCTAAAATAATCTGAAAAAATCTCAGCTTTTGCTCGACCTGATTCAGCTAGTAATTCTGAATTTTCCTGTAACAGCAACGGGGGAATACCATCACTACGTTTCATTTACCGCATAACATGTAGACTTAAGGTCTACTACGATATTAGTACTGCTCTTATGATAGACCTAATCCTAAATTTGTAGATCTGTCATGATATAACTGCCTAATTTATAAGATCTTACGTGGAAGTCACACCATCGACTACACCAACTCACTGTATCGTATCAATTACCAATACATGATGTAGAACAAGGTTAGGCTAGGGAAGGAACAATATATTTAATATGAATAGAAGATATAAGGTAACATTCAGATGGACCACGCCTGCATGGTCGAGCAATGCCATCCGGTCAACTCCAATCCATTCAATTCATTGTTCGCGCCTTCTCCATTGTTAGGTATTTCTCCGCGTTAAATATTGAATACCTATTTTCTGAGTAGTCTCGTGTTCACAGCTTTGTGGATTGTGTGGCTATTGTCCAATGCCACTACACTACTCTCCCACCAGAATCAACGTGATGTTGGTTCGATACCAAATTGGATGGTATCGTCGCGCGCCGGAGGTTACCAAGGATAATAAGAATCCACCGGGTATTGATAAGCTGAAAGATAAATCAAAATGAAAGCGGCAGCATCTGGTCGGGAAATACATGTAATAATTTTAAAATATCTGCCTTCATGCTTAACATGCTTGAAATGAAAATTTGGATGAAGATTATTTGAGCTATAAAAAATGGGATTACATTAATAATAATAATAATAATAATAATAATAATAATAATAACAAAACGATGCGTGTTAATAGATGTTGGTTAATAACTTAACGTATAGGTAGTAAGTATTTTGTGTTTAGAAATATTAAAGTAATGAATATTGTAGAGATGTTAATATTGGTATTAGTTTTGGTTTAAATTATGAAATCAAATAACGATTATGCCGGTAAGTTGTCCATATGAGTTGAATTCCAAATGCATCTGTATTAGTAGGCTAACTGAAGGAACAAAAGTATTACCGTGGAGAAGAATTCCAACTAGTGTTCTAGTTAGTTTGATACGGTTTATTTAGTTACGGGGAGATTTTCTCAACCTCATTTTTACTTGACCGTGATAGAATTTAGTAATACTACTAATACATATGAATGGTTATCAAAACAAAATTTAAATACGTGGGTGATAATTATGTGAATTTTGGACAGATAGCTAGGAAAAAATCGTTAAACATGAGTGTGTTCGTAAGAGACATGCTCTAGACTCAATGTTCTGATCTACAGCAGACTATTTATTTATATTTATACTTGCCGGCTGATGGTACATACAAGTTAGTTGCAATATGCAGTTTATCATAAGGCGGAATACGATTTAATTGAGATATAGTGGTTATAAGTTATTGAAATCAGTTAAGCTTATGTGTCATATTACTAAGTGATGTGGTGCTGCAAGATGTATTTGGCTAAATAAGTTTTTACAAGATAATTAATAGTGAGTGATGTTCATGTGATTATCAGGGAGAACATAAGTTGTAACCAGGGGGAGTACACTCCCAACTCATGTCTATGATAATGGCTTGAACCTTAGTCAGTGTTGGGGTAAATTCGACATTGATGTTTTCAGTTTACAGGAGGTTTGCTCGACTGCTTATACTGATTATTTGCATGCATGATTGTGTCGCTAAACCATCAATTAAACTGACAAGGTTTCGAGATATTTACTGAGTGAGCATCTGATAGATAAACATACTGTAATCATCTGTAGTGAATGAAGATAAAAGAAAAAACAACACTAGTGATAATTATAAGTCAATTTGCTGACCGATTTTGTTAATGGTTTCATTAATTTTATAAATCATATTACGTGATTGTCAAGTCATGACAATGCTTTATGACGATATCCTGAAACTATTATGTTTAACTAGTTATAGTGTTGAATGGGGATTAGTCAGTGGAAAAATAGGTATTGTTGCTTTAGGTGATTCGAGATTATCAGAAATTTGTAACGTTAAAGAATCCGAGACGCCTAATTTAATTATAAATTTTATATCAGAAAGATTAGTTTAGTGTTAATTCTAGTAGGCTAAGGAGTTTTGATTTTAAACGTTTGTTTAGCCAACAGCTACCTAGGGATTTAGTTATTTTACTAGTGCAGTTGATAGTACCTAAATTCTTAATCTTATTATCTAAACTATGCTCGCATTTTAGGTTGCTAATATGATAAACCAATCCATAAACCCAAATACGATTAGCAACAACGACTATGATGGGTTTATTGATAAATGTTAAAGGCGATTCAGATGATTTTCAAATTCAAAAGATATGAAGATATAGTGTAACGTATGTACGGGCCAGGTTAACATGCAGGTTGTTGACGTATATAAAAATTTAAAAATAATGAACATGACCAGGAAAAGTAATTTTAAAGTCAAGACTGCTTATGAAACTTCAGGCAGGAATGTAACGCGTTATAAACATTCCATAAGAAGTTACTGCATTTAGCCTAGGGACACTTACAAATATGTGGCAAAAGCAACTGGAAAACATATACATGTTAAGTACAAAAAAATCATCCAGTAAAATAGTTGAACTCGCCTGGATTATTTTTGAAAATTAGATTATTCAGTGGACGACATATATAACGCCATTCGTGATTAGTAATGATCCAAAAGCATCCAGAATAAAACATGCAGTATGGCAATCACTTCGAGGGTGCTTGATGCTGTTGAGGTTTTTGGGACTCGCTCTGATCAGAACAACTGAATGAATCCAGATAATTGTGTGTGCCATTGAATGAGCCATCTAAAATGAA